AACGAACATTAAGGTATGTAGTAAGGTTTATGTATTAATGAAACTTTTCATAGTAACAATAAACATCGTTCTTAGTTTATATGTACTTTTTCATTGTCCTGATGAACAGACGGCATAATATTAATGAAGCCCAGATATAATTTGATGAAACCCTTTCATTGTATTTATGAATCACAGTCTTGAATACTAAGAATTGCATTCATTATATTTAATAATGACGTTTTCAATAATATATAACATATTCTTTATTTTTATTAAAATAATTTCATGAATTATGCCTTAAATATACTTATGATTTTAAATGGGGTAAAGGGTCATTTTTTATATTTGCGTGTCCCCTGTACTGATGAATATGAGCAATAGGAAAAAAGCTTTTAATGCAAAAGTTGCATGGTTTCTTCGTATCATCTTCCAGAATTGTCAAACAAACCAATGGGCATCCCAAAATCTGAAAATTTAAAAATCTAAGTACCTACTTATGTATTTTTATTTTAAATGACACTAACCGTATATTCTATTATCTTTCAAATCCTCCTTAAATCCTGTTTCCATAAATATATATTATATCTATATTTGTTCCAGCTGTTTTTGAACTATCAACATCCAAAGTTTCTAAAACAAGCCACATCAGAAAATAAGATTTGATGCTTTGGCTGGTTTCCTTGCCTCGGCTATGAAACACTAGCTGCGGTATTGAATCTTCTGCTTTTCTACCTAGTGAAACAAAACCATTTAACAAAAATATATCGATTAAAAAAATTACAACTTGATTTGGGATTGAGTATACTTACTTTTAGAGACTTCAGTATTCCTTAGAAATTCTGAGGAGCTCTTGACGCTTTTGTCTTTCACGTTCTCCCCGGATGACATTTAAATCTGTAGGTCATTTCTTTCGCATTCCCATTTTGAGACTAGACCGTCTCCGTGCAAGGCATCCAAGTCCTACCTACATAATAGGTATACATATTATAGAGGTAATAGAGGTATACAACTTACCTTTAGAAAAAACCGGCGACAGGTATAATCGACTTTCTATTTAACACTTCGAACAACACAAAACCGAAAAAACCTACTTGAACGAAGTACGTAGCAGTGCACCCAGAAAATAGAAATGTAATTATTCCTATTTCAACATATTTTTCTATGTCGTTGCCCGACTGCAGCTACCTTTGCGCATGTGCTTAGGAACTGTCTACATTAATGCTATGAACTGTTTCATTGTATTTATGATTTATCTTGATGTAATGGTTGCAGCTTTGTTTCTAGGAATACTTGCTTGTTTTAAATGAACCGTACATTGTATCAATGAATTTCGTTCTTAAAAGGATAATTTTCTAGTAAGGTCATATGAACCATATTCATATTATTCATGTTAATATTCATTTATATTATGAATATTCCGTGGAAGCTCCCATCAAAGAAATTTTCTTTAATATCAAGGTTTAATTTCATAATATCAATGAACTTAGTTCTTGTAACCGATGCACTATTCAACATAGATTCATGTAGATGACTATTCATAACTTGATGAAGCTTCATTCTTTATTTTAATGATAGCTGTTCATGAAATCATAATACTTACAGTTTTCTGTACCTGGGATTAATGAAAATTTCACTGCATCAATGAAAATGTAATTTATGAAAGCAGTTCATTGATATTATGATCAAGATTTTTTTGAGTGCACTGGTGCTCCTTTTTAACTAAAAATGCATTCGGGCAAATTTCCCAAAAATTATCGACAATTTCCATTGCACTCGACATTTAGAATTTCATACATCTGTCCAAAACTGACATTCCAACAATAAACTGACATGTTTTGATTGTTGATTTACGTTTTATGCGTGTATCAAACGTCAAATTATTGAAGCAATGTCAAAAAAGAGCGAATCTCGTGCAAGTGAGAATTAGGCTTCACTCGATAATTGGCGCGACACTGGTGTTTTAACATTTTTTGACAAAAAATTTAAATTTTTGATTCATGAAATTCTCTCATAAAAGCTATTTTCGGGTTCGAAAAAAGGACGGTCCTAGAACGGTTCAAAACAATCGCACAGTTCATCAATCAACTAAATGACAACGGTTCAGCTATCACAAATTTCAATAATAAACTGTGCGATTGTTTTGAACCGTTCTAGAACCGTCCTTTTTTCAAACCCAAAAATAGCTAAAATACAACTCAAGCAATGGAATTTTTAATCTTGGATTAATTTCCAAGCTGGTGTCAAATGATAGTTCATGGAAAACTCAGATAAGAATGTATGATCGGTATAGCTCTAAAATCAACCGATCAGGTTTTACAGCCTGTCAAAGTTTCAAAAAAGTAAATTTTCAACTGTTATTATTTCCGAAACAGTTAAAGATAGGTATAGGACATGATACATAAAATAAGTTCAGAATGTAACGCAGAAATAAGAAATTAAATTTAAAAAAAGCCTGTGCAGTTCACACCCGGTAGAAGTGAAACCTTCATCGAACTGCATGCATTACACACATACTAACATACACAGTGGCGTCCCCCCCTTCCAAAAGACTTGAGAAAGAACGCAAATAAATATAGTTTAAAAAAACTAAAATACACGCTGGGCTGCTTTGTTCCACATTTCTCATACATTGAGCACCCCACGTTTTTTTGACAATAATTCTACTATTTTTTGTTCATTAATATTTTCTGTTTATATTAAAAACTATTTTTCACTTTTTAGTTCGATGTATTATAAAAGCGTGTCAGCCCCAGAGATTTCCAGACTTTTCCAGACATTATCCAGACTTATTCAGAGCTTCCCAGAGTTTTCCAGATTCCATCCAGATTTATCCAGACTTGTACAGACTGATCCGGATTCTGGAAAATGATCCCTAGGTCTTTTGGGACCTTTTCCAGAATTTTTTCGACCCTTTCAAGAAATTTCCAGGCCTTTTCCAGACATTATCCAGACTTATCCAGAGCTTTCCAGAGTTTTCCAGACTTCATCCAGATTAATCCAGACTTTATCAAGACTTGTTTAGACTGATCCGGATTCTGGAAAATGATCCCCAGGTCTTTTGGGACCTTTTTCAGAATGTTTCCAACCCTTTCCAGAAATATCCAAGTCTTTTCCAGATGTTTCCAAACTTTTCCAGACAATATCCAGACTTATCCAGAGTTTCACAGACTTTATCCAGATTTATCCAGACCTTATACAGACTTGTACAGACTCATCCAGATTCTGGAAAATGATTCCCAGGTTTTTTGGGACCTTTGGCAGAATTTTTCCGACCCTTTCCAGACGTTTCCAGAGATTTCCAGACATTATCTAGACTTATCCAGAGTTTTCCAGACTTCATCCAGATTAATCCAGACTTTATCCAGACTTGTTCAGACTGATCCGGATTCTGGTAAATGATCCTCAGGTCTTTTGGGACCTTTTTCAGAATTTTTCCAACCCTTTCCAGAAATTTCCAAGCAGAGCCGGTTTAAGGGGGGGGGCGAAGTGGGCGGCAGATTCTAGGGACGGCAAATTCATATCGTACAACAACAAAAATTAAAAAATTTAATGAAAAATAAAAACGACACAAAAAAAAATTATTAACAGGGAACTCATTAGTATTCATATTATAGGATAGGTAGGTGACATCTATGATCAACTATGAAAACAAGGTATAATTAATGACTTATATTACTATTATCAGGTACAGTTGCGATCAAAAAAAAGTAGTACAAAAATTATTAACCCCACTTTGAGCTCCCGGTGTAACATACAAAATTTTGACAGTAAATAAACATTTCAAAATATATTGGGTTCGCGCAATGACATATTCTAGGTAGAAAAATGCCAAAGTAATGTCATCTGAAGTTTTCTAAGTTAAAAATTTTTCAAAAACGCCAAAAATATGTCAGCTTTTGGTTATGAATCAAATTAATGTATAATAGACCAGGAGATTTTGGAGATTTTTCTTGTACTACTTTTTTTTTATCGCAACTGTACATCAAATACGTTTCTCAATTTGATATCATGGATGTTGATTTAAATCCTATATATTCATATCCAAAATAAGCAAGAGGTAAGCCCCAAAATGCAAAATGGCGGCGTTTTCTATAAGTATGAATATGTAGGATTTAGGATTTCAAAGAACCAATCAAAAATGAGATGGGAATGTCGCCACAGTGTGGTAATAGAGTCACTGTAATTTACGCCATAATATAGTGCCATCTATTATTGGTACCGGAATTTCAGGATGGGGCGTAGTGCCGGACTCGTCGGGAGATTTCGCGGGAAAGGCGCGAAATCTCAAAGCAAAACAACGGGACGGGACGGGACGCTTTTGTCACCTACACGTTTCTCGTTTCATATTTGCATTATAATAAAAAAAATTATGTTCATATTCATCGGTATTTTTGATTGTTTTATGCTTGTGTAATAAAAACTAAAGTGAGAAAATTCTAACTGTAAGTATAATTTATTTTTTATTTCCTTAGGCGGGTGACACACTGGAGAAATAAGTTTCATGAAATTTGTTGAAAGAAACAGGAAATTTGTTTCATTATCACACGACACATACATATAAATGAGAAAGCACACACTAGCGAAACAATTTCTGCTCTCCTGTTTCAGTAGCGCCAGTGTGCGCCGTCTCATTTGAATGTATGTATATGTCGTGTGATACCTTATGAAACTAACTTCCTGTTTCTTTCAACAAGTTTCATGAAACTTATTTCTCCAATGTGGCACCCGCCTAACTTTATAGGTTTTTTTTTTTATGTATAGTTCAAATATAAGTGACCTACTTTGTTTAAAAAATAAATGTTCTTATTAAATTGAGGATACATTTTGAACAGGTCCATATAATTTTTTTATTTGCCAAATATGTAATGGTACTTGTTACCCGGATTTCCGCAATTGAACTAGCTGAAGTAAGAGGTTTAAGATGAACACAGTACTGAAACCCCTGATTATGTGTCCCAAGTATCATTCGAATATTGTAACATGCAGTCAGATGTCAGATCTATAATTATTTTCAGAAAATGTCAAGTGATGGTAGGAAACGATTATCAGGGTATCAATACAGAAAACGAAAACTGGAGAAACGAGCGGATAATGAAAGACAAGCAGGTGCCTTAGAAAAATTTTTGAAGAAAAAGAAACCACAGCAAACTACAGACTGTGCGATAACGTCTGCATCAACATCAACTATGGAAAAACATAATGATGATGAAAATATGATGAATCAGCATGTTCACGCTGCCGCTTCGACAGATAATAATGTCGAGGATAACGAAGACACTCATGATGAAGTGATTGACTTTTGGAAGAAAAAGAAACCACAGCAAATTAATGAAAGTAACGGAACGCAATCACAAGAAACTACAGACTGCACGATAACGTCTGCATCAACATCAACTATGGAAAAACCTAATGATGATGCAGATATGATAATTCAGCATGTTCACGCTGCCGCTACTACAGATAATGTCGAGGATAATGTAGACACTCATGATGTAGTGATTGATTCTGATCCAGCCAAATGGCCAGGAATAATTATGGATAAGGATAGAGTTTTTTTAGTGAAGAGAGGGCCACCACCGCCATTAACCAATTATAATTTTCCTCTTGATAAAAACGGAAGGAAATTCACTCCATTCAATTACAACCGTGTCTTGAGCAATGGAGAAAGCGTCAAGAGAAACTGGTTAACATACTCAACTTCCAAAAATGTTCTTTTCTGCTTTTGCTGTAAACTATTCGATCATACAAATAAAACCTCTTTATGTAACGAAGGCTTTAACCACTGGAAACCCATTGGAAATACATTAAAAAATCATGAAGTATCAATGGCACACTTGGTAGCTCAAAAATCCTGGTCAGAACTATCTATTAGGTTAAATCAGAAGCAAGTTATTGATGCTTCAATGCAAAGGATAATTGATTCTGAAACAAGACACTGGACCAACGTTTTGCAACGAATAATATCAATTATCCAATGTTTAGGTGAAAGTTGCTTGGCTCTAAGAGGCTCTTCTGATAAATTGTTCGAAAACAACAATGGGAATTTTCTCAAACTGGTCCAGCTTCTCGCAAAATTTGACCCAATAATGGAAGAACACGTGAATCGTGTAATGCGAGATAATACCAGAAAGGTACATTATTTAGGAAAAAATATACAAAATGAAATAATCGCCTTGTTATCACAACAAATAAAGAAGCATATAATTACCCAGGTTAATGAAGCGAAATATTACAGTATAATGTTGGATTGCACCCCAGACGCCAGTAAAACGGAGCAAATGACAATAGGCCTGTTCGCAGAACAATCACAAACCAGTCAGAGTGAATCTCATTGGTTGAAAATAGTTTTCTGACTGTTTCTGATTGTTTTCAACCAATGAAATTTGCTCTGACTGGTTTGTGATTGCTGTGCGAACAGGCCTAATGATAATAAGATATGTTTTTGTTTCCAAAGAGGGAAACGACGTCAATGTGAAGATATGTGAAAATTTTTTAGGATCTGTTCCCATTGAGAAAGCAACCGGGCTTCAACTTTCTGAGGTAATATTAAAACAATTAGGTGAAATGGAAATCCCAATAGAACACATGAGGGGCCAGGGATACGACAATGGCTCTAACATCAGAGGTTTAAGGGCGGGTGTGCAAAGCCGAATTCGTAACATAAATCCACGTGCGTTCTTTGTTCCGTGCAGCAGCCACTCATTAAATTTAGTTGTTAATGATATGGAATCGATTTCTTTGGAAGCCACTAATTTTTTTGGAATTATCCAAAAAATATATGTTTTTTTCTGCGCATCCACACAAAGATGGGATACCTTAAAGAGACATATTTCGTCCCTTACCTTGAAACCTCTGAGTACTACCAGATGGGAGAGCAGAGTTGATGCCGTTAAGCCATTTAGATATCAAATTGGAGATATTTATGATGCTCTGCTAAGTATTTTCGAAAATGCTGAGATTGAAATTTCAGTTAGAAACGAAGCTTCAGGTTTGCTAGAGCAATTAAAAAACTTAAGGTTTTTATGCTCTGTTATAATTTGGTACGACGTTTTGAATCATATAAATCCTGTTAGCAAATGATTGCAGAGCAAGCAGTTGGATTTACCAAATGCTATAAATATTTTGGATAAAACAAACATATATTTGAATAATCTTCGCTCTGACGACTCATTTAATCGCCTTTTAGTAGATGCTAAAGAACTAGCAGATGCTATTGATGTAGACGCCCACTTTCCAGAGGCTGAGGCTAGAGCCCGTACTCGTAAGGTAAAACGTCGCGACGAACCTATAATGGACCCAAAAGAAAAATATAAAATAGATTTTTTTAATCAAACCATAGATGCTGCTTGCAACTCTCTGCATCAACGCTTTGAACAATTAAAAGAGCACAGTGGCCATTTCAACTTTTTATATAATATCCATTCCCTACAAAAAACTTCACCAGAAGAGTCATTGAAACATTGCAAAAATTTAGAGCATGTTCTCATGCATGAAAATTCTTCCGATGTGAATGCGGAAGAATTAGCTGATGAACTGTCTGTATTATGTACGTTAGTGGAGCCCAGCCAAAATCCCATTGATGTTTTGAAATTAGCACTTTAACTGAATATTGCACCAAATGTTGTTGTGGCGCTCAGAATTTTATTAACATTGCCCATAACAGTCGCAAGTGGTGAGAGAAGTTTTTCTAAATTGAAATTGATTAAAACATATTTAAGATCATCAATGGGCCAAGAAAGGGTAAGCGGTTTAGCAATGATTGCGATTGAGCTTGAGATCGGTGCTAAATTAAAAATTGACCATCTACTGAAAGATTTTGCGGCATGCAAAGCTCGAAAACATAATTAACAATGTCCTAGTTATTTTTATTTGAAATGAACCTATACAATTCAATGTCAAAATCTATCTTGGGAAAAAATAAAGTGTAGTTGTGTTATGAGTCCCATGATTAACTAGAAATAGGTACTAGAACAATGGTCATGTAAAAAAGTCATAACCAAACGCTTGTGGATAAAACTATTTTTAAAATTTGCGCTAGTTTTTATTCTCTGTCACTTTTAAGATTTTCCGCTCCATGAAAACTAGGCTGTATGTTACTTGTTTTCCTTAGATGTTAGTTTTCTTTTTTGTTTTTTTTTTTGTGCTTATATCTAACCTAAAACATAGGTTTTATTGCTATAACTTACTATTTCGTGTTATTATTTTTTATATAATTCAAAATATTCTTCCTGAGCAAGTCATGGGATGGGGCGGCATATTTACTCATTGCCCAGGGCGGCAAAAAACCTAGAGCCGGCCCTGTTTCCAAGTGTTTTCCAGACGTTTCCAGAGATTTCCAGACTTTTCCAGACTTCATCCAGATTTATCCAGACATTTTCCAGACTTGTTCCAGCTCACTTGGCTTGTTCCAGGTTCTTGTTGTGTGTTAATATAAGCGTGTTAAAAAAGTGTCGCTTTTTCGTTTCATGTCGCTCCCAACGATTCTAAAGAAGTTTTTACTTCAAAATTAATGTTTTCATTTAAAAAAATAAGTTAGCTGTCACAACTTGTTTCTGGGTCACCCTGTATACATGATATTACCATCAGAAAAACGGCAACTGAAATCAAAAATCGATGTGTCCGAGGTTTTCATGAGCAATCTCACCAATGTGTGAAATTAACATTTTTCCTTTTTATTATTTTTCTAGGTTTTCTGGAAGTTCTTTATGTAATAAACATCATCTCTTCCACCCTCGTAACTACGCCACCTCACTTTTTTTTGGTGTAAACATCTCAAGTATCTATTTTGCTGTATTTGTATAGGGTACATTTTATTATCTTCGTAATATATTTTTGTGTTTCCGCACATTCATTCTTCACATTCTTATTCGTTAAATAAAAAGCACAATGTAAATTATAAAACTATTATTATAACTGTACCTATACTTTTCAATTTATATTAAATATGATAGGTGTATTAGTTTTGCCAAAGAATGTTTTGCCTCCACAAAAGCCCATAGGATTTATTATTCACGTTCCATGCAATTTGATCACACCCTTCCGTTATCTCGGAAATATTTGCCGTAACGTCGTCTATCACGGTCCTACTTTGAACTCGGCGACAAAGAATGAATTTCGCGTGCTTGAATTTGTTGATAGGTTTATCTAATAGGTTATGGGCCCAGTTCACGTGGGAGTCTAAAATATCTTTCGTCATTTTAAATCGCGTTCAAGTCGTGAGTGATTTTTATTTCCGAGAAATTATGTTCAAGTCGTACAACAAGGGATACAAAAAACACCAAGGCGCAAGTAATTCTGTTATTAACAATATGCCAGGAACAAATGCAACATGCAACATCTCATTAACTGCGATGACGCAGCAAAAATGCGGAACACGCTGATTTCCATTCATGCACAGAGAACAGAAATATCCCGAGAGCTACTAGGTGTAGTAAAAGTTTTACGAATATAAAATGCCAGATAATGAAAATATTGCTGAATACATTTCAGGTATTGAACTTTTAGTACGAAAGCTAAAATACGCCAAGGTAACTAATCTATTCACAATCCGAAGTCTGAACTAACGGTAAGATTTATCTAATGAACTATAAACTACACGTATCTGGAATGGCACCCACCGTTGTCGGATATGGCATTTGTATGGCATTTGTCATCTCTCTTTAGTGAGTCGAAAAATAGCTATATTGGGGGATACCTTTTTCTCTCTAGTTCATTGCTGTTAGGTTAGGAATATACCAAAATTCCTAACCTCAAATATAATATTTTTTAGATAAGGAAAGATTTCCATAATTGGCCTATAAATAGAGATAGATATCCCCCACATTCTCCATCTCAATTTGCCGCATTTTATAGATAGGCCAGAACATTCCAGGTACGTGTAGTTTATAGTTCATTGGATTTATCATCTTTCAGTTGGTAGTTAGGGATTTTATTTTCATTACCTGCATGGGTTGGTAAACATTGACTACGTTTATTTCACACGTTCTATCCGAATACTAAGTGGATTGGATTAATGATGGAGAATAATAATCCTGAAATAAATACCCAGGATTAAACAGTTTATAGTTTATCCGGATCGGATACTTAATCGGATCCTCCAAATTTGTAGGATTGGACTTAAAATGGATTATCTCAAATTATTAGAAATTTCGCAAATTATCTGTTTGAAGGTCACAGATAACGTGTGTAAATCGTCAGACGTCTAGGTCGCTGCGAAAACGATGTCAGACGCCTTCAAAGTTTTTATTCTATACCATTTTCTTTGATGTCCTGTCAAAATATATTTTTGCAGGTATTTGACAAATTTATTTAAAGAAAATGCCATAAAATAAAAAATTTGAGGACGTCTGACCCCCTTTTTGCAACGAACTAGATGTCTGACGATTTACATACGTTATCTGTGACCTTCAAACAGATAATGTTCAAAATTTCTATAAATTTTGAACTTTGAGAAAACAGTTTAGATGCATCTTAAAATTACAACTTTGCCCGCGTCCCAGGGCCAGCTGTCCCGGAACTGTGAGTGCTGACTGTACACTAGCCTTCTAACACTAAAGTACAACCTATTTTGAAAATATTAGCCTTGGGAAAACTCTTGCATGTTTTTGACGCCAGCTTCCCAACTATTAAGGATATATTCAACTTTTCAAATCATAACCTATTAATTTCAGGTGTGTCATTAGGCAATTTAATCCAAGAATTTAATCTATCTGTGAAAATGGAAAATTCAATAGGGCGTGGCGGCCAAGCAAGTTTGTTTTGAATATGTTTTTATGCGTATTTTAAATTATTTTGCTTAGAGCTTTGCTTGCAACTTTCATTTTGATTATTTAATAAAATATTTGTTGACTAGGTACCTAAATTATTAAATCGGGCAGGAACTAGATATTTTTTTGTGTTTTTTGGCCCATGTGTGGCCGCCACGCCATCTTGAATGTCACGTGGTTCAAAATGCCTAATTATATGGTACCATCGTCACCAAAACTATCTGGAATAAAAATAATTCATATACATCTCCTATGGACTAAATCTTCTCTCATTCATTTCAATGCATTTAATTCATTTGACAAATATTTGACACTTAAAATCATATAATAGTACAAGAGCTAATATGATGCTGCCCCAGTTACTTTTGAAGACGATGGTACATCATCGAAGGCGTTCCCTAATTCTGACCCCTGTGTGTCAGAATTAGGTGCCAAACATAATAGTATATTATGTTATAAGTGTATAAGAGGGCCTTTAAAGCACGCGCAACATATTTCAGAACACGACACGCAGCGGAGTGTTTTGTAAGTCGCAAGGGCTTTAAATGCTCTTATACACGCATATCAAACGCTATTTTCATCATAATGTTAAAAATGTTTTAAATGTGTTCATTCATTTTGATAAATAGTAAGTAACGGTAGGTAATAAAGGTAGACCAAACCTTTCTAAAGCAAACCTTTGAAAAGGTAGGCGCATCATAAACATCATTTTATGCACGCTGCAGTTTGCGATAATCGTTGATTATGATGCATACGTAATAAAAAATATATTTTTCTCCGAATGACAGTAAAAGCGGCCTTTTAATGACACATGACAGGATCAAAAGTTGTATTTTTACTGCCCATAGGCAGTAAAGTGGACTTTTACTGTCTAGGCATTAAAAGTGACAGTGTCACAACGTTCAAGGTAATAATTTTACTCAATTTGGTATTTGAAATTGATGGTGACAATGACAATTGTCAAAATAATTTAATTATTTGGATAATAATAATAAATGAAATAAATATAAAAAAGATGTCCATGTGTGAATTTGAACATTCGGAGAAAAAATTATATGTTTTACATGACAGAAAAGCAGATTTAATCCCTCGGCTGGTTTCCTAGCCTCGGCTATGAAACACCAGCCGCGGCATTAAATCTTGTACTTTTCTGCCTAGTAAAACAAATAACTATTATCGTTCTTAATCATTTCTATATATTTTGGATTCACTTAAAAGTTAAAAGTACTATTTCGTACGCCTAGCGACATCTATGATTCTATGACTAGTTTTCCTAACCTAATATCATTGAATCGAGAATAAGGCATGTGCATGTGACGTCACAAATGAGTTTGACATTCGTCCTGAGGTAAAACAAACCATTTATGGCTGGTTTATACAACATTTGCATAGTCGTAATCATAATCATAGTCTTAGTCATAAGAGTTAAAATAATATTTTCTTATGGAACCGTTTAAACACAAATCATAATCATAAGCATAAGCATAAGCATAAC